AGTCTGGATTAGATTTCATAACGTCAGTCACCGAGGCAGGCACTCCATCCAGGATAGCCTGTCTAAAAAAATGTAAATAGGCAGTGGGGTTCTGTCCAGGTTTCCACTGAAACTTGGGGACCCCTGCTCCTTCTGGGAGGGGGTAGGCCTCTCTCAAGGCTTCTGCTAAAGCTGCGATATGTATGATCATTGGGTCAGAGTCAAGCACACGATGCCCCCATTTTGCTGCTACTTCTATCTCACACATCTTAGTTGAAGTCACACATCGTGCCAACAAAGCTCTCATGTCACCCACAGCTAGAGTCATCCCTTTAGTAAAGCTGTCAACAACATTTAACCACTTACTGCCACCCGCAGTCAGTGGAGGAAGCCTGTCCACTAAAGCCTGCACGTCTCCCAGAGCAAAAGGTTTATACTTAATCTGGCCACCAGAGTGCAGTAGAGGATAATTACCAGGATGAGATGTACTACTCCCTTCTTCCTGTTCTTCAGGGTCCGATTTTACACAAACTGGGGCGGTAAAGTATACTTTAGGTAACCCCGCACTGCATGCGTCATTATTTTCACAGGGTACAGCGAGCAATTCAGATATAATTCTGACTGGCCCTGCACAGGAGTCACTATTCATCTGTCTGGGAGTCTGAGTGACATGTGGGTGCGCTTTCAGGGGGAGAGGATGTCTGTCTTCCCAGCCAAGAAGAGGGGAGGGGTTAGGGGTAACAGACAAAGTGTCACTGCTTTGGAGCCGTGAAGGGGGATGGGATGAAGAAGAAGCCACACTCCCAGTGGAGCAGCTCTGTTCATCTGTGTTCATGGAACTCAGCGCATCTATGCATCCTCTATAAGGTGAACTTGTAACTGTTCGGGCCTTCATGTTAACCATTYTMTCACTTCCTGGAGCTATTTCTACTGTGCCCTGTTTCACATCAAAAATTGGAAACATGCCAGGTGCAGTCGGAAGAGAAGGGGGGCTATTGTGCAAGTAAGGAGGCGGCTCCACAATGTGTGTATCTTTTTTTCCACTATCTGTGACTAAAAGATGGCTGAGGCCTTGAGAGATCATTGCTAAATTGCTCCATTCTCTACAGTTCACCTCCGCTTCTGTTAACTGTTTTTTAAACCTTCTCTTAGCAAACACACTTCCTGCCTCTCGCCTCTGCACAGCAAGCTGCTCCTTTCTCCTGTTACAACTTTGAACTTTGCCCCAGATGATATTAATCACACTATTCTGCTCTGGCTTGTCAGCTAACTCAGATAGCTTCAGCTGCAGTTTTTTTCTGACTTTCTGTCCAGAGTAGACAGTGAAATAGCATCTTTAACTATTTGGATTTGTTCATTTAAATCTTTAGGCTCACCCTGTAGTGGCATTTTTTTGACAAACCCCTCCTCTATTTCCTTATCAATTTCCCCATTCATCCTTGCACTCATGCAACCAAGGCTCTCAAAATCTTTATTGTTTCAGGAACAGTGGAGACAAAGCTTCCCCTTAACCAGAGGATGTTTCTGCTCAGCCTGAACGTTCCTAAAATGGCAAGCCAGACCGTCAGAAAATCTTTTGCTTAAATCTCCCCGCAACTCTTTTGTTTATTCCTCATTCACTCAGTCGGTCTTTATAGATAGACAAACACAGAGGGACAGGCCGACTTTCTCTTTCATACACACACTCACTCAAGAACACTGACACCAGTCCAACAATACAAATGTAATTACCCTTTTATGATAGATGTGTGTTGACTCCTTTTATTAAATTTACTAATTTTATTCTGTAATTATAACTTCCTGTTTTCTTTTAATTCTCTCTATTGTTAGAATTGGTGGGGGAAGACTTTATTATTTATTATTATTTAATTATATTTATTATTTTGTATGTTACAAAATTATTATTGTTATTGTTCTTATTATTATAGATATTATTATTATTATTATTATTTTAAACTAATATTGCAATTAACAAGCACTCTGGATTATTATTATTTTAAACTAATATT